CTTTGGAAATCAGTATGGCAGTTTCTTTGAAAAATGGGAATCAGTCTACCTCAAGATCCAGCTATTCTACTCTTAGGCATATATCCAAAGGATGCACTTCATACAACAAGGACATCTGTTCAACTATGTTCATAGTAGCATTATTTGTAATAGCCAGAACCTGGAAGCAAATTAGATGCCCCTCAACAGAAGAATGGATAGAGAAAATGTGGTACATTTACACAATGGAGTACGACTCAGCGGGAAAAAACAATGGAATCTTGAAATTTGCAGGTAAATGGATGGAACTAGAAGAAAACATTCTAAGTGAGGTAACTCAGTCACAGAAAGACAAACGTGATATGTACTCACTCATATATGGACTCTAGACATAGTGAAAAGGATTACCAGCCTATAATCCACACCTCCAGAGAAGCTAGCAAACAAGGAGGACCATAAGAGAGACATACACGGTCCCCTAGTGAAGCAGAAAGGCACAAGAGTATCTGAGCAAATGGAGAGTATGGTAGGGGGAGGTAGGAGAAAGAGGAGAGGAGAAGAGGAAAGGGGAGGAGAACATGAGGGATCAGGAAAATTGAGTGGGGGGAGGAATAGAGGAGAGCAAGAAAAGAGACACATGAATAGAGGGAGCCACTATAGGTTTAAAATTTGACACTAGGGAAATATACAGAGATCCACAAGAATGACGCCAGCTAGGAACCTAAGCAATAGTGGAGAGGCTACCTTAAATGCCCATCCCCATATAATGAGAATAATGACTACCTTAAATTCCATCGTATAGCCTTCATCCAGTAGCTGATGGAAGCAGAAGCAGAGATCCACAGCTAAGCACTGAGCCAAACTCCTGGAATCCAGTTTCAGAGAGGGAGGAGTGAAAAACAAAGGGATTGAGAACATGCTGGGAAAACCCACAGAAACACCTGACCTGAGAAAGTGGGAACTCATGAACCCCAGTCTGACAGCTGGGAACCAACATAGGACCAAACCAGGCCCCCTGAACTTGGGTGTCAGTTAGGAGTACTGAGCAGCCTATGGGGCCTTTGGAAGTGGAACCAGTATGTAATCCCTATTGTACAAAGGGACTTCGGGAGCTCATTCCCTATGGAAGGATACTCTCTTAGCCTAGATACACAGGTGAGGGCTTAGGCCCTGCCCCAAATGAATTGACAGATTTTAATGATCCCTCATGCAAGGCTTCACCCTCCTTGGGGAGTGGATGGGGGATGGGTTGGGGGAGTGTGGGAAGATGGGAGGGAGAGGGAACTGGGATTGATATGTAAAATAAGATTGTTTCTAATCTAATGAGCCTGATAGTCTTATAGGTCCCATCTCTTGATGGTACACTGATCTCAGGTGAATATAATCTTGCATTAATAAACCTTTATCTACGCTAATAAATTTTAATTGCTGACACTCCTTATGCAACTTATTGAAATACTTGCAGTGAGAATGCAAGAACCAAGGGATGTTGTGTGGTCCTTATAGGTAGGAATATCAAGTGTTCTAGAGTTGGAAGGATCTTAGCAAATGTGTGGGTCTCCTCTCTACTTTGCAATTGAAAAAACAGAACTGTTCCTGTGTAATGAAGCTGCAGGTTCTACTGAAGGTCAATAAGATGCATATTATAGTGAGGACTGGAGCATGACCTTCATTATTTACTCATCAAGGTCAGTTCTGAACCACTGGCTATTTACAGTGGGAAGTCCTGCCATGCAATTTGTGGTACACCAGTTAAATATAATTAGGGAGGACATGAGTGACATTAGTGAAAGTTTTTTAGTTAATACCATTATGTGAACTGTAGCAAGGGTCTATTTCCTCTTTTTTTTTTTTGTTCACAGTGGAGTTCAGGTTCATTATTGCATTTCTAGTGTGATGACCATGGATGGAAAAAATTAATGTTAAGATTGCTAATGGGTCTTTCAGAAGCCTGGTAGAGAGAGTGCTACTGGCCCTTTCTGTTCTCTGGCACCAGGCCCAGAGATTGCCAAAGGGGAGTCTTCTGATTCTTAGATAGTTTTTCTGCCTTATAGTATGGTTTATATAGGACACAGTTCAAAAGGGAAGTCAAGACTGACAGCAGTGATTTTTTTGGAAGTAAATGGCCAGGGAGTGTTGAGACCTTTGTTTATAAAGTGAGTGGACATTAGCAGTAGTTGGGGAATGAAAGTGGAAAGTATCAAAACAGTAGACACTTGCAATGAATGGACATCAGGCACTAAAGTAGGCACCTTTGAACATTATTTTAATGAATCTCATCTTAATTCCCCAGAGAAACTACTTTGAATACTTTATAGAAGGATGAATTAGATGTCTAGAAGGAATGTGTCTAAATTATGTCTGAACAGAAACAGTGTTAGAGTTCTGGTCCAAGTTAGCATCCTATAACTGTTACTGATGTTGTGTGGCTTGTGATTTTGGATTGAATTCTAGAAGTATGATGATGAGAGCCAAAAAAGTTGGAGAGAAATTTTAGAACTGAAGGTCAGAGAAATGGTCTCTACATTTAACAGTCGGTCAAACTATTCTTGATCATTATCTCTGCATTAAGATGGAGGTGAACAAAAATAACTACAGGCATCTTAGCTCTTTCCTTCTCTCCTTTCACTTATTGTTAACGACTTCCAGTTGTTATTTCTGGAAAGCAACAACTGAAATCCAAAAATCAGTATACATAATTCAAGACAAAGTTTAGCTATCGAAGAGTCTTTTTCGTGTACAGTCCCTCACCAATATCTTCCTTGTAAGAGTAGGATCTATTCTACTCTTTCAATTCTAATGTCTTTAGCATTAGAGACAATTCTAATGTCTTTCTCTCTCTACATCTTTTGCTTTGATTTACAGGGATAATATCTAACCTTTCATATAGAAACATAGTATCTTTTTTGAGAAAATGCAAATGAGTGTATGTTTGTATTTGCATCAGATTCTCTACAAAGGTGTACCCTTATACTTATTGACTCAACAATTATATACTAAGTGCCAGTTGCCTATCAGTTGCTGCTCTAATCATTAGATATTTAACATGAACAAAATTGCTAATTGCCCCCATGAAAAGTGAATTCTGGAATAGAAAACAGAAAATAAAGACACATATAGGTAATATCTTTCACATGTTACAAAAAAAACTCCACATAGTATTTGTAAGTAAAGAAGAGTGTTTACCAAGGTGATATGGCTTGTTTGAGAATTCAGACTCAAAGACTGGCGTAGAGCACTTGCCTAGCATGTACAAAATCCAACACCACATGGATATCTCCAACACCAAAAACAAGTGAACAAAACAGCATCAACAAAAACCAAAAACCTAAAACCTGGCCATAAAATCTAGCAGACAGGCCAATATGTTTGAAACATGAATTGGTCACCTTTTGTTAGTGTAATGAGATACTTGATGCCAGATACTTAGAAAAGAAAATAGAGTTATTTCAGCTGACATGGCCACATAGCATGGAAAAGCTTTTTCAAATTGTGTTGTGTGTGTGTGTCTATCTCTCTCTATATGCATGCTTTATCCTCCTCCCCCATAAAACAACCAGGATTTAATCAGGTCTCTCTAATCTCTGATATTACTCATCACTTCCAAAAGTCTCCATCTATAAACACAATGGTTGGCCTAAATTTCCTTCCTCTTCATTCCTTTAACCTAGGACATTGGGAACAAACTCATGTGTGAGTTGACGTTTTCAAGCTATAGGAGAACAGGTTAAGGTTAAATTTGGTAAGATGGTTTTGGAGAGGGGTTGGAGATGGACAGAAAACCATGAGGGGCCTTTTTTAACCTGATATGAAGACTATGAAATGTATTCTGAGTGAGCTGGGACACTATCACAGAGTTTGGAAAAGAAAAACACCTATATTAGTGTTTCTGAAAGAGTTACGTTTCTGAGCACACTGCTGTCGGGAGGAACATTGTTCTAGTTGTTTTGCAATATGCTTACAGCAAGGATGAGATTTTACATCTCATTCTGGTTAGGTGTTTGTCTGAGATAAGTTAGTTATCATAAAGTTATTAATGACCCTGACATTATTGATACATTATATGAAACATAAACCAAATAGTTATCAAAGAGAAAATAATTTTCCTTAAGAGGATTTAATCCCTTACTCTCACAATAATTTTGCTATAAGCTTATTTTCATAGATTACAAAAATTGAGCCATTTGAAAAGTTTGATGTCTGAACCAGACATTGGTGGTAGTGATGGAAAGGAACTTTTATTTAGAGAGAAAATGGTTTAGAACATTTTGGATATCTTACTAATCAGTGGAAGTCAGAAGCAAATCAGAATCAAGGTGTTTGGAGCAGAGGTGGTGGGCAGGTGGTGGGCTCAGGAGCTGGACCTCTCTTCAGGAGTTTAAGAACCCTATCAGTGGAGTTGATGTGATCTAAGCAGCCCCTACCCTCTGCTCTGCATCGCTCTCAAAGCTTCAGTCTGTGACCTAGGGTATGGCATGATAAGAGGTCTTGATCGATACACTGCTCACAGTCCATTGACAAAAGCAAGTGTGGAGGATACTGGAGAGCTAGCCTTCCACAAAACTCATGTTAGTTAGTCCCACTGCTTCCTTTTATTGAAATTCTGTTGCTTTGAGCACATTTTCTTCTATCCTTGTCTCTTGTGCGTGTGCTTTGTCAGATGTTTATTTTTATAACCAAGTTTCATCTATTGTAGCCTGTGACCTCCTCAACCATTTACTTAAGCCAATTCTAAATTGCTGGATATTTAGATGGTTGTAGAAAAATACTTTTATCAAAGCTGCAGCAAATAGTAATATCTTATGAAAACTGGCTTAAAGGTATAATGTTCCTATCCCTGGGTGTTTGGCCTACTGTATGGTGCCTCTTGAACAGAGTTCAATATATATTGAGTACAACTTCCAGAAGAAGGATATAAACAAAAGAAGTTTCATGACATATTGTAACTGCCCAAACAGGGTGAGCCTGATTCTCCTGGAGACTGATGGCTTGCTCTTTGTTTGTCAGGTGGCAAGCTGATTTTCATGGAGCCAGGACCCATTGAGCTCAGAGCCCACTCCATCCTCATTACACATGGTGGAGAGCTCCATATCGGATCTGAGCAGAAGCCTTTCCAAGGCAAAGCTCATCTCAAACTCTACGGAAGTTCCCACTCTACTCCTTTCTTTCCCTATGGGGTGAAGTTCTTGGCTGTGAGGAATGGAACTCTTTCCCTGCATGGTAAGTAGTAGATAACTCACAAAAGAAACTGAAATGTGGCTGTTCCTAGCAAATATGTGGATAATGAGCATCAATAAACTATTTACAAGCCTAGTAATTAGTTGCTGAGGCAGTGTGTCAATTATTGCATAACACTGTTTCTTTAAATAACACATCTAATTATTATTATCTGTGGCAGACTGTGCTATGGTTCCTGTAAGGGGACTGGATACCTTTGCTCTCCATCAGGTGGCTTTCAGTGCCTTTCTGAGGCGTGTTCTCTGTCCCACTGAGGGTGAACTTAGCAACAGACATCCTCTGGTTTGATGAATACGAGCCAAAATGATGTACTCCGTGGGCAAGTAGCACTTTTCAAAGATATTGTGATTCTTGATCCATTTGTCCTTGTCTTCCACATGAGAATAGCCTGTCCCATATAGGGGCAATTCTTCCAACTTGGGACCCTTTATGATGACAGCATACATAGGCCAGAGTTGATGACCACAGTTGCATATGCCAGTGAAGAGTAAAGCCTTTTTGGAAGCAAGCTATTGAAGATTGACATTTGTAACCATTATTGACTCAGTGAAAACTGACAATTGTTATTTCTCAGTAGCTAATATCCTGGCATCACAAACCAAGTAAAGACAACTCCACTTTGGGATTGTTCAGTGATTTGCTTCACTCATCACAACCCATGGAGAGTTCAGTTACAGTTATACTTAAAATCCCCTTACAGATGGGTCTGGTGTTCATGGTTTTCTAGAAGGAAAGCAGTTTCTGCTTCAAGTTTTCTTGCTTTCTGATCATCTCATTCCATTTTGCAAAGAAGCAGTTACAAAATGTGTCGAATATTGATATCAACTGGAAAATTTAAGAATTAAATGAGTGTTTCATCGGATAATTATATATATTTGTTGTTTGTCCTTAGTCAAAAACAAAGAGTGTGGGCTCCAGGGTGGGAGAGGTAGCTCAGTGATGTGGTATTTTCATCACATAAGTAAGACCTACAATTTTGGCATCCTTCAAACAAAACCACACAGAATGAAACAACCCTAGAATGTGAACCTCAGGTAGCAACCTAATCTATAGTGGCTTCATGTCATGAACACTAACATTTTTATATTGACGTGGCAAAATGGAACCAACTTGTAATAGAAAAATCATTTTAGATATGGGTTGGTAGCTGTATTGAAGCGTCTGATCTCATCCTCTGTCCTCGTTTTGTTATAAACTGTGTAATAATCATTTTCTACTAAAAATACTCCATGGCTTCCTTACTGTAAGAGGAAGCCAAAACTTTTCTTCAGTATTATTGGCCCTGGCCAGCCATGCATAAGATAGTATTGAATTTGTAATTTTAAATAGCGGTTTCTTATCTGGATGGGAACTCAGAATTCTTGTCCCATTTTTACTCTTTTTCTCGTCATGGATCTGTCACTGAAGATCCATGACTATCTTCTACCTTTTCACACATTAGCTGTGGTCTCCAAGCATTTAAGTCTGCTGGCCACTTAGGCCCCCTGCAGTGCTCTTGGGTGACTTCTCTAAAAATTGAAATTCAAATGAAGAAAATGAAAACTTGTTCCATGGATTTTCCCTCTTTGATTTAAACTTCCATGATCAAGTATCAGTGAAAACATTTATAATATACCCTATGTGCTTATATTGTAAATGTTCTATGGACTAATAAGCCTTTATTAATAAGGAAATGTCAAATTAAAAAATCCACTATGCCACCACCTATGTTCAATATGGCAAGTCAAATCTGAGCAAATACCATTATTAATAATAATATTTCAGACTTTTGTAAATTAAGAGGAATATCCTTAGTATGTCTAAGTGACACTCCTGGATCACAATGAGGTGTGTTTTTTCTCTTTTTAAATTTTGTTTTCCCCTCTTCTCTCCTTTTGTATTTCCTTTATGCCCTCTTCCTCCTCCTCTTCCTCCTTCTCCTCCTCCTCCTCCTCCTATAATGGGGGATGTCTTTCTGTATGCTGTATATATATGCTTCTCTTATTGGTCAATGAATAAAGCTGTTTTGTCCAATGGACAGGCAAGATGTAGCCAGGCATTAAGTATAGACTAAGAGAATTATGGTAAGAGGAACAAACAGAGTGAGTCTCCAGTGAGACACCATGTAGCTACCAGGAGGGCAGGATGGAAGGAAATTCTCTGGTAAGCCAAAACCACATGGACATACATAGATTAATAGAAATGGGTTGATAATCAAGAGCGAGCTAGGCAATAAGAAGCCTGAGCCATCTGCCAAACAGTTTTTAATTAATATAAGCCTCTGTGTATGTATTTGGGACTAAATGGCAGAGGGATCGGGTAGGACAGAAACTTCCGTCTACACTCCTGCTCACCTTTTCTCACCTTTCTTGTATTTTCAGACCTGTTATCAACATTTCACTCACCCTCAAAGCCCTTCCCACAAAACATGTTCAGGACCTCACCTAAACTTCAAAGCCTGAACATGGGACATGGGGTAATCCAATCTATGCCCTCTCTGTTGGGATAAGTCTATACCTCCTTCATCTTAAATAAACAGTTCATAGGGTGAAAGCTTGGCCAGCTGGGTAAGAAGGTGTCCTTTCCTCACCCATCCATCAGAGCATCGCACTCACATGTGTTGATCATCAATCCTCTCTCCATCTCCCAGCACCTGAGGTCTGGAGTAGATTTGCCTTCAGGCATGGTGGAGTATCATGGTTAAAATCATTATGTAATTTCACTGACCTCTATCCTAGGGCAAAGGTGGGTCTTATGACAATTAGGCATTAGGAACAAACTAATTTTCTTTTGCTGTCAAATATTCCAAAGAGCGAGCAACTTGATTCACTGTCCTAATGAGTCCCGAATGAGGTGGCATCTACTTACTACCCCAGGAAAGATGTAGTGAGGAGATTCACCAGCTTTGGAAAATCCCAAAGGACTAATCCAGGGAGAGTTTCTAAGTCTAGCTTCCTGAATCTCATCCCCAGACTCTGATGCAGTGGTCACTGGCTTAAGGAGGAGTATGCTTAGCAAAGAGAACTTCATGTGGGTTGATTTTGAATCAGTGACTGAACTGGGAGGTTCAGTGGTACACTGGACATTGTGGAATCAGAAATTGGCTTAGATCTGTTGGTTTTCAGTTGTGATTTTGAACAAGATAATTTCTATAGCACCAGTGAACATAACCATCCTACACTTACTGCTTACAAGGTGGTTTAGAGCAATGGACATACAACTCACAGTGCTAATTCTTATTGCTTTGCTCAAATTCTGCTCATACTTCTTTTTTTCTTTGTCCATAACCATAGGGGATGGAGTGCCAGGTAGCTCATATTAGGAAATGTTGAAGGGACAGTGATTTCTAGTTGAAAATATGTCGTGTGTCTCACTTTGCCTACCATTTTCGCATCTTATTAATTACTATCTCTTTTCATCAGCCAGAAAGGATTTAACCTTGGAGCTCATGAGGCAATAACATTCCCAGGCACCTTCTGTTCCATTCCCATCAACCAGTGGACACCTTTAGATTTTAATCTCTTGTGGTACAGTTGCTTCCTAGCACAGGACATTCACCACTCCTAGGTGTGGTTACAATGAAATTGCAGCAAACAATTGTATGGGTCTATGTAGCCAGAAGGCGGACACTGTCCAGTTAATGGATTCCTTTGCAGACTTGATTCCTAGCGTCATAGAGTGAGGGGATTGATGGATTCTAATTTAACTCTAGCATGGGTCATATAGAATCATACAACTGGGTCAGTATGTCAGTCATATCCGTCTCCCCAGCGCTTCCCTCCTTGCTCATTCTTCATTTCTGCCCTTTGTAACCCTTCTGCTCTAGCTGATTTTCATCATAGATTAAAATTGCTAGGCAAACAGGCTTGGCTGTTCAGCTGTCACAAGGAATTCTGGGGTTGAAAGCACATTTCCTAGCTTTGTTTTGATACAGGAAAGCATCACACTTTAGCACTCACACACACATGCAGCACTCTCTCTCTCTCTCTCTCTCTCTCTCTCTCTCTCTCTTTTTTCTGTGTATTTGGGAATGGATCAAGATCCAGTATGTTTTCCATTGCAGGAAGGGTGCTCATGGTTTAGTAACTGTCACCTGCCCACTCTAATAAGTTCATGTGAAGGGTCCAGGGCTGGAGTCTATGGCTTGAGCATTCGGAGTCCATAAAGAAAATCCACTCTTGCCTTTTGCCTTTGCCTCTGCCAATCTGGTTTCACCACCCAAACTGAGTGCCAATCACTTGTCACGTTTCAAAGAGGTCGTGTCAGCCTGGGCAACTTGAATTTTTGACAATGTAATTATGGCTTTTGCCTCCACAGTGGGGGGCTGAGCAGGCCAGAGAGGCCTTTTTATTGATTGTTCAGCAGGGAAATTTATCAATGTCTCTCATTTCATTTCTGCCTCCTCCCTGAGAAATTTGGCTGACAGTTTCTTAGACGAAAAGTAGTTTTATGGCTTTGATTGGACTTCTGCCTTTGTCCTTCTCAAGGAATTACAAGACAGAGGCATTAAATATAAATGGAAATGTCTGAGAAAACTACCATATGGGATATGATTGAGGAAAATACTAGCGAAACTGTTATGAGTATAATACTTCTCTAGGAATAAAAAAGAGAAGGGGTTCTTTACATAAACAAATGGCTCATCTTCCTTGTAGAGATTCCAGAAATCTGTATTTCAGTTCCAAAGTGTGGACAAATCCCACACTGTGTGCTGTTGTTGTGGTTGCTAAGGAGGGGAGTGCTATCTTTAAGCACAGCGTAGTGCTCACTGAGCAGTGCATAGCAGTGTGTTCCTGGTCAGTGATTTTCATACTGTGTACCACAAAAACCACATTTCCTAAGAAAGCCCCCGGGGCTCCATAAACAGGGGAATATGTGAGGTCAAGCAACAAAAGCTTAAGCGGCTCAAGGAATCAATTCAGTGCCTTTATCTCTCCTACCTGTTCAAAGTGATATTTCATTAGAAAGAAAGAGTTTTGCTGTAAGAATTGTGATTAAGGGGC